AAAAAAAAAAAGAATATGATTTAAAAAAACAAATGTAGCTTAAATCTGAAGTCCAATCCTGTTCTAGAACTGGCTGGGTTGGGTCCCCTGGTAGTGGATCCACTACCCCATCAGCCACCATGTCCCAGCAGACTGAGCCTGGAGCGTACCGTTCATCCACTCCTCTGACTTGATGCTGAACTCGTATGTCGTCAGCCACAGCTGCTCATAAGGCACTTTGTTGGTCATCAAGGCTTGCAGGAGAGGGAAGGTACTCTTCTCCTTTTCCAACAGTTCCTCCTCCTTATTGATCAACTGCAGGGCAAAAGGGAATGCTGTTTATTGGGCAGCTGTTTTTCTGAACCCTAAAGGCCACCGTGGCAAATTCCTCAGTGCTTTGAAAACCAAGTTGAGGAAGATGTAAATTCAACTGGAGAGCGAGAGAGGAAAACAAGACATGGACTCAAGTAAGAAAGTCCCTCTGGGTTACCTCTGAGGGCTGTGACAGCTAAGATCTAGCTGGATGAAACTCTAGGATAATTTGCTACTTGCTCCATCATCTTTGATCCTATTCTACCATATCCATATCCCCATATTCACAATTTTCGTATGTACTTTAGCTGTTTACATGATGCCCCCCCTTCTTAGGCTGACTTGCCTCAAAGATAAGAACTTTAATGGTTAAAGAACTTACTAGTTGACCTTCAGGGCAATTTATTTAGCTTTTCCAAGCCTTAGTTCTCTTATTTTAGATAGAGATAAATGGGGACAGTAACAGTACCCACCCCAAAGGTTTGTTATGGGTATTAAGGGATATATCGCATAAGAAGCCCTTTGTACATTGTTGAGCACATAATAAATACTCATTGTATGTGAGCAAATATTTTCCTGTAATTTCTTTTTTGTGTACTCAATGACTAACAAAAAAGCTGGTATAATGTAGGGTTGTAAGAAAAGGTAGTTGAAAGCGCCAATGAAAGAACTGGTCAATTCACCAATCAATACTATCCACCTGACAGGTGATGTTAGGAAAACCCAAAATCAAGAAGCAGAACCAACAGGGCAGGACAGTCATCAAGTCTCCAACCCCAGGCCCCAAGACCCCAAACCTCAAATTCCATCAGTGCTTGATCTAGGTTCTTTGAAAGCTCGTTAAGCTTTTCAACATTGTTCTTCATTTCTTCTGTGTTCATCACTTCACGTTTCCTAAACCCTTCCAGTTCCTTGTTGTAGCCTTCAAGTTGCGTCTCAAATTCTGAGCACCTAAGAGCAAAGGACAGCCCAATCACATTTGGACTTTCCACTTTTGATATCCAAAATATCAGCAATTTCTCACCCATATTCAAGCCTGGGGAGAATCTGATTTTCTGGTGCATGAGATTAATATATATATATATATCAGGTTAGATGAAGAGGAGCACTCTCCACAGCAGAGTTCAGCCGAGGAGGGGCTCCAGGAATAACCCGAAGCCCTGGGCTCAGCCCTCTCTTTGGTGAACACTCAAACCTCACGTCCATCATTTTACATTAATCTGAAAAATACATACATATATATGTATTACTTAAAATCCTACCTCCCAGAGATGTCTAGTGTGACCCTATTGACGGTTAAGCATTTCCAGATGTTTACCTGTATGGGTAAATATATATGTGTGCATATATATGAAATCTATATAATACCTATTCTATACACACATATAAAATGTATGTATATATATGTATTATTCAGTCATCCATTAGATATTTATTATTAAGGGCTTGATACATTCCAAGGACTGCTCTAGGCATCAGGGAAACATTTGTGATATACACTATTAAGCTCCCTATGCTCATGGAGCTTGTATTTTAGTTTGGGGAGACCTAGATAAGAAACACATGGATTGGGGCACCTGGGTGGCTCAGTCAGTTAAGCGTCTGCCTTCGGCTCAGGTCATGATCCCAGGGTCCTGGGATCGAGCCCTGCGTTGGGCTCCCTGCTCTGCGGGGAGTCTGCTTCTCCCTCTCCCACTCCCCCTGCTTGTGTTCCCTCTCTCGCTGTGTCTCTCTCTGTCAAATAAATAAATAAAATCTTTAAAAAAAAACAAACACATGGATTGATGGGTGGGTAGGTGGGTGAATAGATGGGTGGATAAATTCATACATAGATAAAGATAAAATGATATATTCCTGATAGGCATAAATGTTCTGAAGAAAATAAAACAGGGCAGAGTGCCTAGAGGATGAAAGTAGAGGGCTACTTTAGCTAGAATGACCAGGAGTGACCTTTTAGCAACAAAGCAAGTCGCACAGTCACTTCTCCCTTTTTCTAACAGGGTAGACTATATAGTGTTAAGTTACAGTTGCTTAGCACATTATAGTTTCCAAAGTACTTTCATCTCCATAATATATACATATGTATATATTTCATACAATAGTACAGTCATTAGTAAATAGTAGGCACTCAGGTTGAATAAATGAGTTGTATTTGTGGGACTACCTGGAGTCTAAGGGAGGATAATTTAAGGATTTAAAAATGGTGGATTGGTCAGAATTCTGGCATGAAATGGAATTCACTCCAATGTTCAAAGAGAGAGGCTTTGATGAAGGGACTACCTACACAGGTAAGATAGGGTAGCCTCAGAAGGAAGCCACTAGGACCCCTAGGGTCAAGAAAACACTGGGAACTGAAACCATGGAGAAGCAAGAACTGTCATCCAGGAGGGATGAAGCTACTACCAGAGTGCCAGGGCCAAACAGGGAGGGAGAGGAGAAAAGGTGATCCCTGTCCAAACTCCTCAGGGCTCTCCACTGGGGGAGCCCTACCTGGATCCATCAGACAAGGAAGTCAGAGGCTGAGGACTGTGGGTGTCAGTGGACCAGGCACTGAGTGGACAGAGGAGGAAGAAGGTGGAAGAAGGAATTGGGGAGTGGGGGGGGTCAGGTGGCAGCAAATGGAGAATTATTAGTGCCAAAGCCAAAAATTAATGTGGGCTGGTAAAATAGGTCAAGTTTCTTAGAGAGAGAATGTGGCTGCTCTCACAGAAGACGAATGAATAAATGAACACTGCTCATTCCCCCTCACACACCGTTCTCAGGATTAATGTAAAAATGATGGACGTGAGGTTTGAGTGTTCACCAAAGAGAGGGCTGAGCCCAGGGCTTCGGGTTATTCCTGGAGCCCCTCCTCGGCTGAACTCTGCTGTGGAGAGTGCAGAAACCAGTGGGTGCCATCAGGCTGAGTCACCCCTCCCAGAAGAGATGGCCACTGCTCTTCTCCTCTCATTATAAATGACAGTTCCCATTTTCCCCAGAGCCACCCCTCACTCTGAACTTTAACAGCACTTACTACCTCTAAGTAGTCTTACAGCGCTGTTCCAAAAGTATGCTTGCAAGGTTGTGGTTTAGAAGTGAAGCACTTTTTTCTCCCCAAAGAAGTCACTGTCCAAAGGATGAAGGAAATGGACAGCTTCTGAATGCCTACCATGTGCTGGGTACCCCTCAGGCACAATCTCAGGTCATCTCATTTCATCCTTCTGCACAATGATACCTCTCATGAAATGAGATGACCTGAGATGGGCTCTGTTATCCCATTTTCCGTATGAGGACACTGAGGCTCAAAAAGATGAAGAAACTTGCTCCTGTTCATCTAACCTACAAATCAGTTCCATGGTGGAGGCTGTTCATAAGGGGACACGGGGTAGATGGGAACGCTGTACTTTCTCAATTTTGCTGTGAATTTAAAACTGTTCCAAGAAATAAAGTCTATTAATTCAAAAATATCAGTAGCACCCATTTGGCTAAAAGTTCTGGGTAGAGAGAGGAGAAGGCTGCTGGAAGAAAAAAAACTGTGTGCATACAATTGTGTATACACACCTCCCCATGCCCCCCCACTTTTGTTGTTGTTATTGTTTTTTTCTGGATGGCAGACCTCGGCCATATTTTGAAGGTAGCGAATAAATAGTTTTTTCCTTCAGCCCAAACTCCCATTCTGTGTAGAAATCCCTGCTTTTATCTACTCTTTTCCTTTCTTGTGAGTATTTGCAGGGATTATAGGACCTAAAGTTGGGCAGGGGGGAGTTTCACATGTGAAGGGGAGAGTAACTGGAACAACTCTACAGTTCATCAACCAAGTGTTACAAGCTGGGCTGGCCGTGCATGCATGTATGTCTTTACCATCCACGTGGCACTTGGCCCACTTTGCTTGACACTGATTTTTCAGTAGGTATTTTCTCTGCTACTGGAATAAAATCTTTATTTAGTAGCCAAACACAGTTACATGTCTAGAATATAGAACAGCACATAGTAAAAATCCGTAATAAATACTGGTTGAATTGACAAATAATGGATGACTAAATGATATAGCCACATTAGCACTGAACAAGACCAGCTGCCAAACAGGCAATTTCTCAGCCTCCTACCACGCCTCTATTATCCCTGTCTTGCTATCTCCTTGGTCTCCAGTGTGAGGCTGATGATTTTGCTATTATTATTGCGAGGCCATTATTCCATGCCACTATTTTTGTCTTTTTCTCTCTGCACCGCCAAATTCCAATTGTTCAAGGCAGGGAGGGAAGGCATTGGCAGGGTCACTATAGTGAAGCAGGCTTAAAGAGAACATCCCTCAGTGGGAAACAAAAAGAAATTCCTTTTCCACCATTTGTCTTCAGCCTTCGCCCACGCCTTGCTGTGGGGGGGCTCTGAGCAGAACCAGGAACCTGCAGCGTGTTATCGAACTGGGCATCATTTCTGAAACAACCTCACACTCTCCCAGTACCTTTTAATGAGGTCCATCTCGGCCTGATCCCTCTTGTTAAGGAGGAAGTTTCGGCTGTTTTCAAAGATATCTTCAATCTGGTCTGGCCAGAGGAGCACAGTGCTGTTCAACTTGATATCCTCGTCTGCAAAACACATATAGTTTGCTCCAGGACACTGCTCAACATAGGTCAGCATGCAGGGCATTAATTTAGCAGAATAAGAGGTCAACAGAAGTGGGTGAGGGGGTGGCAATGAATGGATGGGCCCATGATGGATGAATGATAGCCAACATTTACTGAGCACTTACTAAGTGCCAGGCTAGAAGGGCAACAGTATTATCCTTGTTTTTACAGATGGAAAACAAAATTTAGCCAAGTAGTCAAGGTCACACCGCTAGAAGGCAGCAGAGACAATTTCAGACCCAGGTCTAACCAACTCCAAAGCCGATGTTCTAACCACTATACTTCACTGCTTTCCCAGGCTGGGTCTGAGTAGAGTAGAAACCTGGGCTCAAGTTCCGGTTCTCCTCTTTAAACTGTCACCTCATCTGAATCCCAGTCTCCCTTTTGGTTAAATGTCAGTAATAAAGTCAGTGCCAGATGCCCCACCCAGCCTAAGGCTCTGGGCAGCTGAAATGTCCTAGGCTCCCTCTGTACCCTTGGGAACTTAGGAAGCAGAGGTCCACTGTGTGTTCACAAGGTCAAGGGCACAGCTCATGAATGTGCAGGTGGATGGTTAGGGTACTGTTTTCCACTCCCAGTCCCCATCTCTCCCTCCCATCACCCTTCCTCCCAAACAGCATGAACACCAGGTAATTCACAGGTATTTTGAGATGGAAGGATCTGAAAACTTGACTTGTGGATAGTGTATCAGTTTTTCCTTCAGAACCTGGTCCCTACAAAACTCTACCTTGGCCCAATAAGCCTTGAAGGGGCTCTGACCATTTCTTTCCTTTTAAGATATGTAGGAGCTTGAAGGAAAGTGCCCTGGCCTCTCCTCAAAGGCAGAACTGTATTAAGATTATAGATGGATGAAATCTATCCATTTATAAAAGGACTCTGCATTTGGAAGTGACTTTTTCAGAAACACCAGCCACAAGATACCAAGAAAGGCATCTAAGAACTTACCAAATCCCTAGATATTTCTTCTTTTTGTCTAACAATAAGATCAATTTGGTTTGATTAGAATTCCTGTGGGTAAGGGCGTGGAATTAGTGTCTCTAACATATGGGGACGCTCTCCCAGTATTGATATTTAAGTGGTAGGACTGCTAACTCTCCTTCCCAACTCCTTATCTCTAAAAGTATAAATATACATATACATTCACATATAAATCTATAAGGCGTGGACTTACGGGGCAAGTCTGCATAGTCCATCAGAAACTCTAACCGTTCAATTGCATCTCTAAGTTGCCTCCTGAGTTTGAACACTGTGACATCACTGGATTTCTTTAAGAATTCAATGAGGAATACCAGCTCCTCAGTGTTGGCAGGAATCTCACTGACTTTATCTGCGATGGTGTTGTACTGATTACAAATGCTACAGAGAGAGAAACAGCTACTATCACCATTATTATCTAAAATCACTTTCTTATAAGATCTATTATGCTAAAGAGGCATCATTCTTATTTGGAGACTAGGAAAATGGTTTCCAACTTTTCTCTACCTGCAAATCCGTGATGGGTAATATTTACATGCACACCATTCTTCAAGAAAAGAAAAACAGTAATAAAGGAAATAATATCTCATGGGTTTACTATGTGCCATGCCCCATTCTAATCACTGGATACATATTAGCTCATTTAATGTACCATGGGTAGAATCCAGATTTAGACCAAAACAACACGAATACCACCACCACCACCAATAGTGACTCCTTGAATTTTATATTGAAGTAGAGCACTAAATTAATTGGTAATCACTACTCTTCACAGTACATCAGCAAATTTATCCTCGTGCTGGAGGTAGTTCCTGGATGGCAGAGAAACTGACATTCAACCACCGGGACCACTAAATCTAACTGCCTACTTCTCAAACACGAGACTATGAGAAAGGATGCTACTCTAAGGATAATTCGAATATGCTCTAACTTATGCAAAAACCAATGATGAGGGACGCCTGGGTGGCTCAGTTGCTTAAGTGTCTGCCTTCAACTCAGGTCATGATCCCAGGGTCCCCATCGAGCAGGGAGTCTGCTTCTCCCTCTCCTCTGCAGCTCCCCCTCCCTGCCTGTGCTCTTTCTCTCACACTGTCATTCTCAAATAAATAAAATCTTAAAAAAAAAAGATAATTGTCATCAGTATTTTAATTATAATTAGGAACAAATGATCTGCAATACATCCATGCCTAACACAGAGTGGCCCTCAAGAAATGTTAGCAATAGCTACCACAGTTTTTGTTATTAGTAAATGACCATTACATGTTGACATTCATACATTATAGATAAAAACCACTTCTCTCAGTATTTTCAGTCCTCAATATGCCTTCTTTTTTTTGTTTTGTTTTAATTGAAGTATAGTTGACCAAACTCTATATTCCTTCTTCATGTATGGAGACCCCTCCATAGTGAAGCTAATTGTATCAAACTGAAGAAAAAAATGAGTAAAACATCTTTTCAGATGCTGCCAAGATCGTAGAAATGAATTTTCATACAATTTAGAAACTTTCTGCAGAGAAAAATTATCTACTGCACTACTACGTAGTAGTCTCCACTTCAGAGCTAGATGACATGTCCAGCCTCCTTTGTATTTTTAGTTGGGGATCTTACACATCAGCTTGGGCTACCATAACGAAATATCAACAGAATGGGTGGTCTAAACAACAGAAAATTATTTTCTCACAGCTCTGGAGGCTGGGAAGTCCAAGGTTAAGGTACCGACTGACTTAGTACCTGGTGAGGGCTTTCTTCCTGGCTTGCAGACAGCAGCCTTCTCCCTGTTACCTCATGTAGTGGAGGGGGAAAGAGCTCTGGTGTCTCTTCCTCTTCTTAATAGAGCACTAGTCCTATTGGATTAGGGCCTCATCCTTGTGACCCCATTTAACCTCATCATCTCCTCACAGGCCTTGGTACTAGTGCTTTGCTGTAGACCAGATGTGTGTGCACCCCCAAAATTCTCATGTTAAAACCTAATCCCTAATGTAATGATATTTGGAGGTGGGCTCTGAGAGGTAAATAGGTCATGAGAGCATCCCCTTATAAAGGGGTTTAGAGCTTTTATAAGAGAGACCCCTCACCCATTGGCAGGAAGCCAGCTCTCAACAGACACCAAGTCTGCTGGAGACTCTATCTTGGACTTCCCAGCCGCCAGAACTGAGAGACACAAATGAACCAATGTTCTGTTGAGAGAAATGAATTTCTGTTGTTTATAAGCCATTCAGCCTATGGTAGTCTGCTGTAGCATACCAAACAGACTAAGACAGACTTCAACACATGAATTTTGAAGGGGGACAGTTCAGTCCCTCGAAGGTATGGTCACATGATTGAGTTGCAGTCAGTGTGAAGCAGGAAGCAGGGATGAGTATCCCTTTCGGGGGCAGCACATAAAACTGTCCTTGCATATCCCTTCATGCTCTTTCCTCCTTCCAACCGTCTAGGATGTCAACACTTAGAATGACCTTGAAAGCTACAGGTTAAAGATGTAAAGTCACCATGTGCTTGAATTTCTGGATGTACCATAGGTCTCCCCCACCAATCTGGAGCTACCCTGAGAAGAAATAAAACTTCTATAGTGTTCAGTCATGACATCTTAAGTCTACTTGTTATAGCATCTTGCCTCGCCTAATACAGGTAGGTCTTCTCAGTCTGATAGACTCTTACCAGATGAGAATCCATTCTTCCTCCCTTTTGTATGAGAATTCAGAGGATAAATGTTATGCGGCTAATAGTTATCAGTTTCTTGCAAAGGCCCAGAAGGGTGGTAGCAAACCCACTACCTATTAAACTCTCTAAAATGTCCCTGATATGGGTCATTGATATCAGGCACCTGACCAACACAACACCTTAACAATATCCAGGGATAAGCTGGTTTTCTTTCTGGGCCTCATTTTCTCCTGCTTTCAGCAAGGGATCTTACTTATATCTGTCTTACCTACTCATGGGGTTGTTGAGAAAGTCCAGCAAGTCAGTCTCACCATTTTTAAGGCAGAAAGAAAGAATCTTAGCCACCAACCTGGGGTTTCTGCATCCTTAGAAATCCCTGGGTTCATAAGGAGACCTTTATTTTCACTTATATCTAAAAGACCTAATTATACACTTATTTTGATGAGGATTGACCAGCCAAGGTACCATGTTGTTTTGATTTGACATGAACAAGTGGACTATTGCTTACAAAATAAGTTTTCTTTGATGCTCAAAATACCCAAAGAAAGTGTCTTACTAGTTTGAACTACTTTTACTATCCTGGTCCCAAAGCTTTATTCTATAGGCAAAGACACTAAAGATCCAGAAGGTAAAGCAAGAGGACACACAGTTAATAAATGGAAGGTCTTAGATTCAAACCCAAATCTTCTGGCTTCTAAACCAGAAATCCTACCATTTTATCACTCTGTGAGAAAGCTGAGTGTGGTGAGTGCGGTGGTTGAGAGCGAGGACTTTGGGGTCAAAATAAATGAGGTGAAGCCCTGTATGTGCCACCTCCTAAACCCTTGGGAGTCTCAGTTTCTTCATCAACATAATGGAGAGAAGAGCAAACAACCTTTTAGGGTTGTTGTAAAGATTTGATTAGATCTATAACGTGCAGAATGCTTACACAGTCTTCAGACTATAACATGTGCTGGAAAAATGGTAGCTTACTATTATCCAAAATTTGCTCATGAGTTTCTGAAATGTATTTTGTAAATTTAAGGTGCTATAAAATGCTAAAATTACATCTATCTATCTATCTATCTATGTATCTATCTATCTATGTATCTATCTATGTATCTATCTATCTATGTATCTATGTATCTATCTATCATGTATCTATCTATGTATCTAACTATCTATGTATCTATGTATCTATCTATC